ACTGCACTAGCAGAACTATAAAATACAGAAACTAAAACCATTTGTTTGCCATTATGCAAAAGCCATCACTATCAAAATTTTAATGAAATTACATTGTTAAATGCAGTAAAATTTTGATCCAAAATGGGTTATTGTTTCCCATTTAGTTCTCTTTTGTTATTAATTTTAAAACATCTCTGGCAAGAGTACCATTCCATTACTGCAAAGTACACTCTCCAAAAGGGCCCACATCAAGATGCATTTCAAAACACAACCCTTTCTACTCCTGTCTGTGTGGTTTACAAGTGAGCATATTGACAGGTGGGGTACCTGTGTGCCTCACTGCCTTTGAGATATTACACCTTAGAGCCATGGACACTCCTTGGTGAGGCTGGCAGCAGTGTTCTGCTCTGTGTATTGCCATGCACTGGCCATCTGTACACCACTCTCAGAGAAAACACTCTTCATACCTGCAGACCACCTCTGGCCGTCTCATCTGCACTCTCATGAGGGAGGAGCCACCATTACCTCTCCCTAAGCCTCAGTAGCAGAGCTCTGTCAATGGGATGTCCATGGGAGAATCAGGGAAAGAGCAGTAAGGTAAGAATTTATTTTAGATTTCAAAACACTGATGTATTTGAGACAGTGGGTGCCAAGCCTGGGCTATACTAGAAAAAAAGGCTCTATATGGAAGCACCAAAACTGTGTGGCCACTGAGAGAAAGTACATTACACTGTTTAACTGAACCCTGGCATGGGGACCCCACTGTTTGTTATAGAGTGAAGGAAACAAAACCAAATCATTTTTCTCCTTTCTATAAGTTCTGTGGAGTGTCATTTTTTAGCTCCTGCCTACTCCATGCACTGAGAACACATCCAACAAATAAATTAAGTTGGCATATTTGATGTGCATTTTCTATTTCCTTTACTTTGATGCTAATTTCTGTAAGTTTATGAACTAGTGTTCTTGGAAGTTCTTTCCCTCCTCATGCAAGAGCTCTGCCCAGTTCTGTGGTGTGAAAACAAAAAGCCTCCCCTGAACTAGCCACAATTTTGGACTTCAATAGCAGAAGAATTTTTGAACAGCTTCAGTAGTAGAAGAACTAGATACCTTCTGCCTTCAAAGATGAAACGTCTTGAGCACCCATCAGTTTGTTACTACAATCCAAGTTACAAACCTTTGAAAGGCATAGAAGTTTCAGTATATTTTAATTATTTTACTTCCATAGAAGCTTTTCATATAATATTAGGCAGTTTGACAAAACTTTAAGAAATTCTAAAAGAAGAAAAATTAAAAAACAATCAAGCTTTATTTCAGAAATTAAAGATAAACTAGAAAATCAACATACCAACAGCCATCATGTAATCCCAGCGGTCTATGAGGCACATGTTGAAGATCAGGTGGTCAGATGTTTGCCCCTGGCCAATGAGTGGAATGTTTCTCTCCAAATTTTGGGTTATTGCAGAAGTCCAGCCAACGAGAAACCAAAAGACTACCAGAAGAATAACAGCCAGCATCCTCATCACTCGCCCACCTGTCATGTATGGAATACGCTGAGCCGTTCGGGACAGGAATACCTTCAAAACCCTGAAAAATTTAGACAGTGCAGAATTAAGAAGAGTGCTAGCAAGTCTCACAGGAATCAGATTTTCCTTTTATTTTACTATCGAATTATTTGAAAAAAAAATCAACTTTCTTTCCCCTGACACTGTGTACAAGAGTGAAATTGAGACACTATTACTTTCATATTAACCGTATTTAAATGGAACTGATTGCTGCCCAGAGAGTGCTACACAGCAATAAAAGAAAATATTAGCTATGCTTATGTTAAAGACGTGCATTCACATGCTGTGTTGTCAAGCTGTTTTGTACCTTCCAGCTCTCAATGGAAGACTTCTGTCTTTGGAAAAAGAAAGGTCATTTCCATGAAACAGCAACCATGTATCTTAGATTTCATTCTGTTTTGATGCTGTCTGTCTGCTCATCCCCAGTCATGCTATTTCCAGAGAACAAATTAACACTTGGATATTTTTCCCACTGAGTTAGATGCTGCTGAGACAATACCTACTAATCATAGAAATAACTGTGGAAGGCACTTGGCTAATTGGTTTCTGATTTGTTTAGAGGCAACAACATATTTTTCAAGCTAGGACAGAAACATCATAAGAAAAACCACACCATAGGTCAGGCACATATACCATGTAACACTCACTTTAAAAATATTTGCACTTACTATTAGGAAAAGTTTACTCCCACCAAGAATTATTCAAGGAAATATCACCTGCATTTTCTATTCATCACCACCTGCTAATGCAGAAAGGCCCTCCTGGGAGCAGGAGAACAATCAAAACTTGAGGAAATCACCCTGGGAAGACGGAGTAGTTTGATTCTTCCTGTGTCACGAAACATCTCCGTGTGCCGCCTGCAGCACGAGATCTGCCTGGGAGCATTGTGGGGAGCATTGCAGTGCTCCAGCCTTGGCCCCGGTAAGCTACTGATGATGATCAGTGTAGAAAGGCTATCTCGGAACTTTTCATGTACCCAGACCTTTAGAAGCAGATGGGCTGAAGTTTAAAGACTCTTTCAGAGGCTGGGGTGAGGAGTTTTTCGAAGTGAAGAGGTAAGTTGTTTCAGTGATTTTGTCCTGACTCCTAAGCATGAGCATGTCCAGTGAATACTCTCGATATCCATGAAGGCACAAATTATCACTGAGGTTTAGGGATCTTGATTTTTTTTTTTTTCCAGAAAATTGAGTTTTTAAGTGCCGTTGTCAGCTCTGCAGTTTTTTTTCAGTGTACCAAGCATCAAGCCACCTCCCAAACCATTCCACAGCCAGGCCTGCCTTTTCAGCAGTAAAAAAAAAAAAAAAAATAATCATACTTCAGATTAACATTTATGCTTATATTTGTCTAAGAGAAGGAAGAAAGAACTGATGTTGCCCCTCCCTTGAAAAACAACTAATAGAGCAGTTGCCTTTAAAGGCAGAAGCACAAAAGCTTTCTCATATCCATAAAAATGAATCTGCGTTCGACTACAAACACAGTCTTCACAGTGTGCATTAGGTGAAGCCAGAGATTTGAATATGTTCAACATTATTCAGCTGTTTCCCTCCCAACTCCACAGGGAGTCACAATTTTTGATCTTTCCATGTTTGATAGATGTTCTGCTCTGCTTTTACGTGCTAAGTGCCTTATGTTGGAAGCAGCTTCCCAAAGACTTCAGGAAGGAGAGACAGAAAACTCCACAGAGGCAAAGCAGGCCCCTTCCCTCCACATTGCTCAGCCACAGCACTACTGTTCCAGAGCAACAGTGGTAAACAGTAAAAATCAGGGAGCAAAGGCTTTCCTACTCCCTGTTGTGAATGCTGGTCAGTAGTTAGCTTCTCTGAAGACAAGTAAAACATATTCTTTTTGTAGTGAACTGGAAAATTTCACAGCTTTAGTCTGTCATTTGAGAAAAATCTCATTGTACACTTTTATGAAGGTTTAATAATTAGAGAAATCATGCAAACCAGCTGAGAACTATTAGAAACCTCCTGTATCTTGGCTCTTTAAAGTCAATTCTTGATGATTCTGCTGAAAGTCAACATGTGAGCTTTTTCTGGACATAACAAGGCAGGACCCATTAGAGTTCTTCCAGTACTAGCTCATTATCTGCTGCCTGTGAGACAGCTTTCTAAGGGAGATGGGTGGGCTGCTGTTACGTTATTGATCTAAGCACAGTGAAACAAATAACATTTTGCAATACAGCAGTCAAACTCCCTCCAATTTGGATCAAATCACATTTCTTTTTTTCTCCTCTTTTTCACAAAAATAAGCATCCCACACCATGATCATTTCTACCTTGGTCATGTAGTCCTAGATGTAACCCAACCTTTACACTGCTTTTTCCAAACATTTTTTTCCTGGAAAGATGTAAGGAAAGTTGGGTTAGATTTGCAGTGTTCAAAATCTCCTTTCCAGAGGCTGTGGCATAGAAGTATTCAACCAGAACACAAGCTCCAAAGTTGCAGTTCCCTCATCTTCCTGCCACAACATGAATCTAAAGTTGCATTGCTCACCAACTCAACACTGACTTACATGCTTCATCTGCTCTCATCTCCTATGTATTACTGAACATGGATCCAAGCAGAGACAAGTGTCCAGGAGTTTCTCACCCAAGAGCAAGTCCTCTCACCAGCCTGGAGGATGATTATCCTTCCTGTACCTCTGACTCATACAGTCAAAGTTCACTATAAAAAAGTTGAATCACTGTAATATGAGAACAAACTGCCTCACCAAGCACGTAGTGTTTGATGACTGGTACCCTCTATCAGAAAACAGGGGAGTTCTCAATTCAAATCCCTGCCCTGACTTCCGGGTAGCAAATGCTCAGACCCCCTTTATCACTTAGTTCTGTATCTACGTATTGGGTAGAACTAGCTATGGAACAAATGAGAGAGAATTCTCACAGGGAGGCAAGAAGTGAAGCCAATGGATTGCATCTACACAAGAAAATCAAATAGGCCCTGGGTTGCCCCTGGCACTGATGGCAACCGGCACAGAACAGCCAGCAGCCATACTATTACTCTCAGCATTTCAATTTAGCAGGACAGAGGATGGAGTTCCAGTGCCTAGGAATGTTCTCTGATGCTACTTAATTTGTGAATATATATATACATAGTCCTGAATGCAAGTTCCTGAGGAAATTAATGTTTAATTACGAGTATCTAGTAAGTCAATGTAAAATGGAAAGACTTCTCCTGTCCTACCTTCCCCCAAAATGCCTGGCAGCATCCAGCACCAGCCAGTGCCCTGGTAGAAGCTTAGGGCTCTGTTTGAGCCATATGGTCTCTGATCTAAGGCAGAAAACTTCACCATCTTCCTCGGCATCTTCTAGTTCTTCTCCCACCTAAAACCATTCAGCATTCCACTGCATTCCACTTTTCTGTGCTGTTGTTGGATAATCAAACAATCATTTTCAGTGACATGTCATCAGCTCCGTTTACAGGCAGATCAGACAGAACACTGCAATGTGCTCTACCTGCTTTGCTGGAAGACACAGTTGCCTTCCAGCAAAGCTTTGACCTACAGGTAGCATTAAAGCTGATATACAATAGCCATCCTTTTTACAGAAGGCACAGTTCAGACTGAATGAACTGCCTGGAGACCACTGCAGGTAACTCCCAACTCTTCTGGTTGCACTGTCAAGAACTAAGCTATGCAGTCTGAGGGTTTTCTTTGGGATGTCTGGCTCCACATAAATGGACAAGGGGAGGGTGTGGTTGCAAACACTGAGAGCCAAGGGAAGTCCAGCAGCTGGGAAGCAAAGTGATGCTGTAAGTGGGTCTGAAGCAGAGAGACAAAGCCTACCGGTTCACAGGACTGGCTGGGATCACCAGCTTGGAAAAAGCAAGCAAAGCAGGTGACTGCTGCTGTACTTACATCCTGAGATGCAATGTGTAATCTTTGAAAACAAATAAAATCATATTAAATTTTCAAGTCATATCAATAATCTGTCCTGTGAAGAGAAAAGATGGCCTCCAAACTACGGCTGACTGCATAAGCATCAGGAACAACAGGTGAAGGATCCTGCTTTGACAGCAATGACCCAACACAGTTTGTTTATTTTTTATTTCTAACATCTGTCATTTTGTGGCTCTACTGAGTCATTCTGTCAAACTGTTCTGTTCCAGACTGATGATTTTTATTGTGATATGAAAGCTACATCAGAAAGATAACAGGTCAAGCTCTTAGGAAGTATATTGCCCTCCTGCAGTGCAGAGATTATGTCTTACCTGCTTTTTCTGGAGTAACAGTGAATATGTCACTAATTACTTTGAGTTTGTAGACGGATGTGATTATACTAAAAGTGAAACGGTACTTGTGGCACATGTATGGCACCGTGTCAAATGTCAAAGAGAGCCTATGCTTCACACCTGAGACACAGTTACATACACATACACAAATACCGAGTGCAAGTTTTATTTTCACATCAGAAAAGATGACCGAATGAAGAATATCAACACTTAAGGCCCAAGACCTCAGAAATCATATTTAGATGGACTCATACCATCAGTTACTGGCTCTCCCAGGAAAGGATAAAACCCAACCGAGAGAGAAATGAACAGCTTTCTAAACAACTTTCCAGCTGAAAGTGTCCAAATTAGTCATTGTTTACTTCCCAAGTGATTTCTCAAGACCTCAGCACAGAGCAGACAAGAAGTGCACCTCTGAAGAAAATGCTCACTGAAATTGGGATGATCTTTTGCTTTATTGATTCTGACCACCCTGAACCTGACCAAACCTGGACTGAGAGGCACCACGACAATGGTATGGAAAGACCTGCATCATATTCATCATCTCCTGTCCAGTGAAAAGGTACAACAACTAGAAAAAGAAGTTCTGGCAATTATTTGGGTGTATGAATACTTCTTAAGAGTCCCCATCTTGTGTATAGCCAGAAAACTTGGCCCCATATTGCTGAGAGCCATCAAAATACTTCAATTCCTTCACACCATGCATGCAATAAATCACAGTGTAGATGACAGAAAATCTCCCACATTTTTCATTTCAGAGAAGAATTTTGTAATAGCAAATACACAGTCA